CTGCTGCTGCTGCTGCTGCTGCTGCTCTTCTTCTTGAAGAACTGCTGCTCTCTGCATGCAGCGGCAAAGAGTGGGCGTGGTCATACACCCGGCGGACGCGGCGCTTGAGGTGTACATCCACCTCGGGGTCTTGCTGCTGCTGCAGCGGGAAGGCCTCGCGGTGTTTGGGGATGCGCAGCAGCTGCTGCTGCAGCCGCTGCTGCTGCAGCGCGGGCTGCAGCAGCCGCCGCTGCTGCTGCTTCTCCCAAAACTGCTGCTGCCGCTGCTGCTGCGCCCCGCAGCACTCCAGAGACACGAAAGGGTAATGTGCAAAACGCACATCATCATCAACAAACTCCAGCTGCGGCAGCAGCAGCAAATTGCCCTGCAGCTGCAGCTGCCCCTTGAGGGGCGGGGGGGCTGGGGGCCCCTCGGGGGGCCCCTGGGGGGCCCCCGGGGGGGGCCCCTCCGGGGGCTCCTCGGGGGGCCCCGGGGAGGGCGGGGCCTCCGGCTCCAAGTCGCACTGCACTGCAGCAGCAGCGGTGGGGGGCCCCTCCCGCTGCTGCTGCTGCGCCCTGCGAGCAGCAGCACGAGCAGCAGCAACAGCAGCTTCCACTGAAGAGGCCTCGGAGTGGTGTTCTCTGCAGCAGCAGAAGCGGTGGTCTTTCAGGGGCCCCATTGGCAGCAGCAGCGCGGGGAAGCTGCACGTTGCTGCGGGAAAGCTGCACAATAAAGGCACAAAACATCGAAATTTAAGTTTTTAACTAAAAAAAAAGATAAATAAATCAAAAAAATGAATAAATCAATCCCAAAAATCGAAAATTAGGGGGGAAATCTGCGAAAACGAACCCAGCAGCAGCTGCAACGCAGCCGTCCAGCCACCGCCGATCCGCCGCAACAGACCACTGGTCACCTTCGCGGGCTGAATGGTCTTTTTGTGAAATTGCAAGTTTGCAAAAAGGAGAGTTTAAAATTGCAAAAAAGCTCACCAAGTTCTTATCTGCTGCTGCTGCTGCTGCTGCTGCAGCGCCTGTTCAACTCGGCGCAGCACCGCGCCGCCGACGCCACTGCAAGGATCTGCCCCCAAAAAGGCTCCGCATGCTCCAAAAAAGGAGCTTTTGGGAAATAAAACTCCAAAATTAATCCAAATTTTGAAAATTTTGGAAAAAAGGAGCAGCAGGTTCCCGGGATCAGCCGCTGCCGCCAGACTCGACCGCCGCCGGCTGCAGCAGCAATCGGTAGCCGCCAACAGCTGCTGCTGCTTCCCCTGCAGCAAACAACCAACTCTCGTTTAATTAATCAAAGGGGAAATATTCAAAAAGAAATTAATGCCGAATAATTCCCTTTCTTTCAGCTGCTGCTCGCCTGCGGGGGATCTGAGGTGTACGTACACCGCATTGCACATGGCCATCCGCCACACTCCCCGCCGCTCAACGAAGCAATTCAAAAGCTTTCTGAGGAGTTCTGCCCCAAATATTTATTTTAATTTGCATTTTATTCAAAATAAAAGGCAAAAAGCTCCTTTATGACCACCAACTACCTCCCGGGCTTCACCGACTCCGCCATTTTGCAGCCTTTCACATTTTTGCAAATTTGAAGTGATTTGAGCTGCGAGCCAGAGGGGCCCCAAAGGCCTCTTGAAAGCTTTAAAGCTTTAATTAAAGCTTTACAATAATTATAACTTTCTTCAAAGCTTTATGGCTTTATTTAAAGCTTTATAACTTTATTTAAAGCTGAATAACTTCATTTAAATCTCTACAACTCTATAGAAAGCTTTGTAACCCTATGGACAGCTTTAGAAGTGGGGCCCCACGCCTGCTGCAGCGGCCAGTTCACCTCAGTGCAAATTTTAGAATTTGAAAAATCTAAAGATGTTCTTTTCTAAAAATAAATGTTTTTAATTTTGCATTTTCGGCATTTAGCTGCTGCTGCTGAGACTTTTTAAGAGGCCCCGAAGCAGCTGGAGGCCAGCAGGAAGTTCGCATGCAGTTGGAAGAAGAAAGAAATGGAAAAGGAGAAGTGCACGGAGTCTGGGGTGTACATACACCGCAGCGCTGCGTGCGGAGTGTACAGACACCGCAGCGGGGTGTGGGAGGCTGGCGAGAATTCGCAACTCCATTTTGAAATTTGGGAATTGAAGAAGAAAACAAAAGTGTCTATTTAAATTTCCTCCCACTCGACTTCGGGGGGCGGCTGCGCATGCACGGGGTGTACAGACAGCTGCTGCGCAAAGTCGCGGGTCTGGGCGGGACTTTTGGGGTTCGTTTTGCAGCTTTTTTTGGGGAGCAGCAGCAGCTGTTTGCTGCTGCTCTTCTTCCGCTTCCACCTCTCCTCTATTCTCCTTTCTCTCTCCGCAATTGCTGCTTCCAAAGACCCCCAAACCCTTGCTGCTAAGGCCTCCAGCTCCTTAACAGCGTACAGCCGCATGGGCTTGAAGGCCCCCCCGTGGGGGTTTTGCTGCTGCCGCACCTGCAGCCTTCCTGCTGCTGCTTCGCCCCGCAGCAGCTGCTCCTGCAGGCAGTAGTTTGCTGCTGCTTGCTGCTGCGAGCACCAGCCTGCTGCAGCGCCGCGCCCGCCCCGCGCTGCTGCTGCTGCTGCTGCTGCTGCGCCCCCGCCCCACAGCAGCGAGCTGTACATACACCCGCTCTCCCCCGCCCCAGGGCCTCCTCCTTGCTTTTCATTTTTTAATATTAATTCATTTCCAGATTTATTTAATTCCTTTAATTCCGAAGACTCTCCGCAAACTCCCCTCTCCTCCTCGTCCAACACCGCAGCCAGCTCTTCACTGTCACAAGCGGGGCCTCCGCACTCTACTACCTCCTGCTGCTGCTGCTGCTGCTGCTGCTGCTGCTGCTGCTGAGGGGGCTCGTGGGCAGCAGAAAAGGCCGCTGGCCCCTCCTCTGCTGCAGAGCCAAAGAGCGCCAGTGAGTGTTCTTCGTTTTGCTGGGCCCCGCAGTCGGTGGGCTGCAGCAGCTGCTGCTCTAGTTCCTGCTGCTGCTGCTGCTGCTGCTCGGGAGCAGCAGCGTCTTCATCGTCTACGCAAAAGCCCCCAGAGTCGTCGCATGCAGCAGCAAAACCGAATTCGTCTTCGGCGCATGCATTGGGGGGTATCTCGAGGTGCAGAGCAGCAGCAGCAAGCGAAGCTGCTGCGAAATCCTCTTCCGCGAAGGAGTCCGCTGCTGCTGCTTCTGCAGCAGCAGCAGCAGCAGCGCCGGCAGCTGGCTGCTGTTGCTCCGAGCAGCTGGTCGCTGCTGCTGCAGCAGCAGCAGCAGCCACTTCCGGGGAAGCCGCTGCTGCAGCGTGAGTGTCAGCTGAAGTCAACTCTGCGGCTTCATTCTGAAGTCCCGGCGATGCACCAGACATTTGGTCTGCTGCTGAGCCTCAGTTTGCTGCTGATTGCTTTTGCAAGAAGAAAACATAAATTGCAATTTCAAAAGAATGTCCTGAAGAAATGTTCTGCACAGAACGCAACTAACCAGCTATCTATTGCTGCTGCTGCTGCTGCTGCTGGTTGCTGGCAGCTCCGGCGCTGGGGCTGCATGCGAAGTTGAATGCGGGAAGCTTCGGTTAAATACAAAAAGCTTCCAATTATTAAAAATATCTTACGTATTTATTTTTGAATTCTTAGCGAGATCACGCGAAAAGTAAAGAAGATCAATGCTTGGCGGCGCGGGGCGCCGAAATTCAACTTTTGGGATTTTGCAGAAATGCAAGAAGCCGCGTGAAATTCCCGGAAAGCATCTTTTCTGGAGGACTTTTCTAGTTTTTTTGTGCAAATAATCTTATTTGCTTTGAGGTCGCGTTGAAATTGAAGTAATTCAACGCCAGAATGACTTCTGACAATAAAGCGGCTGGTTTCGCATTCAAGTTTTGGGATGTACGTACACCTCAGAAGAATGCAGGTTGATCGCGCGCATCGGCGAACACCACTTGGGCGTCACTTTTGTTTGGGAATCTTTTCTGTATTGTTGAATACTTGTTGAATCTTGGCTTCTTTTGACTAATTTTGACTTTCTTCTTCGTTTTTTGAACTCCTGGAGGCCCCCAGTTGCAGCTTTCCACCCCAGCCATGCTGCCCGCGCAGCTCCGGAAGGCCGTGGAGGCCGCCAACCAAACTGCGCAGCAGCAAATCAAAAATGAATCTGAAAACAAAATGACTCCGGAAGAACACGGAAGGCTTGCGGAGCTGCAGCGCCAGAGGGCCCACTTGGAAATGAGGCAGCTGCAGGTACGCAGCAGCAGCAGCAGCAGCAAGCGGTGCTTCTGCAGCAGCGGCGCAAGTAGAAGCAGCATCGACGCAGGAAACTGCAGCAGCAGCAGCAGCAGCGCCAGGAGCAGCAGCACTTCAGGCTGGGCGTGTTCTGCGCAATGCGCGTCTGCTGCCTTTTCTGTTTTATTTCATCATTATAATTATTTGTTTATTTATTTATTTATTTATTTATTTATTCATTCATTTCTTCTTTGCAGGCCCAAGCAGGTCTTCTCACTTCGGCCCAGGCTCAAGTTGCTGCTGCTGGTTTGGAGTGGCTTTATGACGACCCCAAAAACAACGCAGACGCAAAAGAAAGAGATCGAGCAAGTGCTGCTGCTGCTGTTGCTGCTGCTGCTGCTGCTGCTGTTGCTGCTGTTGCTGCTGCTGCTGTTGCTGCTGTTGCTGTTTTTGTTG